GGTAAGATTTAGGGCGTAAGGTTGTTGTCTTTGTTATTTAGTCTTGTATACTGTGTGTGTGTGAATATTTCAGGCGAGACCATAAAAATGATAAAGCTGCTTTATCTTTATGTGGTAGCGCAGCTGAAAGTGAGTTGAAACGACAGCTGCTGCGTTGCCTTCCTGAACTATGTCGATTGAAGAAAAACAATCCCCTATTCAGACATTTGAGACATTTTCATTGCAAGTTAAATGCAGAAGCTCTCTACAGGACAGACAGTAGACTCCATAAAAACTCACTGCAATGAGTCTTGATGTACTGCAACATTGGATTCTGTGAATAGGAACTGTCCTGCACTGTATCTGGGAATAGAGAGGCAAAGTCCATCTCCTTCCGCTGTCCCCAAAGGGACCTTTGGTGTCTCTCAAAGTCAAGGATCCTTCCTTGGTAGGACTGATCTGTCCAAGGAAGGATCCAACAGAGACTAGGCAAGAGTCCTTCCTAGCATTCGGTGAGCACACATTGGAACAGGCTAGCGAGTGCCCCCAGGTGTACGTCATTAACCCTTAGCAGACTGAGGGGTTTTCAGATCACTGTGATAATTTTGGCATTCTCTAATGCTGTTATACAATTTGAACAAATGTAGCAGTATTTTCAGAGTCACGTGACTTTAAGGGAAAACTTATTTCTGGATTATACTTGAAATGAAGGAGGCTCCGCCTTTAATTCCAGCAAATCGTGTGCAAAGAGTAATGGGTATTTTAAACCAACTGAGGATACGTACAGGCATCCTTGAAGATTCTGTGAAGGAAGGATTCTGTCCTTAGGCCGGATTTGATGATGTAGCCTCCTTGAAATTCAGCCATTTAAGGATCATTCCTTGACTTTGAGAAGCACCTCTTGTCTTGATAAAAAATAAGTTCGGTGGTCAACAGCAAGGGGCAGATCATTTTTTGATCCTGTCTGAATTGTGCCATGCTTTACACGTACCATGTTTGTCCATTTTTCAGATCATTTCTCAAGTCTAAAGAGTCTCAGTTTGTCGTTGGTTTGTCATAGAACTTTTTAGTTTTGTGTGAAACCACTCAGTGAACCATGTGTCTCATCTTAGAGACGTGGTTCAGTGGTGCGTCTCCTCACCCAGTGTGTTTTACCCAGTGACTCCTGATCTCACTATCAGCTATAAAGCGAAAGTAAAAGCATGACCTGTTGCTCGGGTGAGTATGTAACAAAACACACCAGCGTCATAGCCTCAGCGAGAGAGAAACCTATGACATCACCTACACTACTGGTGTAGTCTGTTAAATCAGGTACTTTCACAGTTCTATGCTTCAGCAGTTTTATGACAAACTATGACTGTCTTGACTTGCAAAATGATGTTCCAAATTGACAAACATCACACGTGTAATTCATGATATGATTCAATTGGAATGAAAAAAATTGTTCCACCCAAGTGACTAACATACATGTTTTTCCAACATAGGATCCCATGGTATTCCACTGGAAGCAGAGAGACTTTGCCTCTTTATGCAGTTTGATTAGACCACTTTGGATCCAGGTATTAGCACTTTTTAAGAAGTTCATTTGGCTCAAAGTTATGTTGGGGACCGGTCTCAAATACCAAACATATTTAAGTGTGTATTTACTGTTATTATTGTGTGAATAGTTACAGTCTGTTCGGTTATTGAAAGACACTTGAATGGGTTAGTGCAGTCAGTGGTGGAAACAGCATCTTACAAATGTATGGTTAGTAGAATTAGTGGCGATCAGGAGGAACGGGTGTCACCCTGGGACCTGTTCTGGGCTCACATTAAAATGGAAGACAGGTCTCAGTAGATATAAGTGTCCCCTGTGATTATGTGATCCTGTAGTGGCCCATGAGATATGTGTATGACATCATTTTCCTTTGGTGTTGTTTTATTTTTTCATTTCCTTCTGGACTTATTCATTTGTTCGATTATGTATTTATTTTTACTGGATGTTTTAATACCGGAGGCTGTCTCCATAATATAAGAAATGTACCATATGTTCCAACACCCTGGAAGGAGTAATATATGTATGTCATGTACACACCTTTAAAAAACTAAATACAATCAAATTCAAGAAAAAATGCATCGAAAAAGACCCGAATTAGCCAAAATGTTCCCTCTCCCTCTTCAAAATATGGCATAATCACAGCCTAATTTTTGGAATGAATTCACCTCATAACTGGGCTACATGCAAACCACAGGATCTGTGGTTATCCTGTGTTTTTATTATTACATGCTGCAACATGGAGCAGGGTTAAAATAAAAGCCTATTGTTTTCAGTAATGCAACACAACTGTGTGCTTTGTGCTCAAGTGCAGCCATCTGTAGTTCAAACTGTAAACCTGCTGGCCACAATTAATCCCAGTTTCTATTAAAAAAAACTGAATAAGACACAATAACAAATCATTTCTATGCAAATGAATGCACATTATACTGTACATATGAAGACAATGATAAAGTGTGTGACACTGCTTTGCAGTTAACATCTAATATTCTACTATATCTAATATAAATCAAATTTTATAGGCATTTACGATGTAATCATTTTATCACCTCAAACTGGGCAACAGCTGAATCTTGAAAGCTGAACTAGAGATAGGGTGTCATATTGTTTTAATATAATGGTGATCTCATGTGTTTTTTTATAGCGACATTGTGAGCAGGCTTGTAGCAAGGCTCTCAAATGGCAGAGACATTTGATTCCACATTACAGTCCAAGTTTGAATCGAACTTTTTGGGCTTGTGAGACAGAATTCAGTTCTCGTCCTTTAAAGACGTGTGTAGGTATGACATATCTGATGTGGAAAAAGTCATGAAATTTAGATCACCTCCCACACATTTTATCCAAACTGGATTATGTAATAAGGGAGTGGTGGGGTTATGTCCCTTCCTGCCATGGCAGCGGTGTCTGACACATTATATAACCATTGTTTTCTCTGGATTGTGTTAATTAAAATGACTTTGAAGTTGAGTCAGAGCTCAGTTGCTAAATGGGACGGCCAAGTGACAACAAGGTGAAACCGGCAAATGACGTTATAGTCAGTTCTGTCTGACTGATACCAAATAAAGATTTGGGGATATGATAAAAGAATATATGACTCAGCATGTCAGAGGCAAACTTTTACTTTCAATTTTAATTTAAACCAGTAAAAATGAAGTCGCTGTCTCAGGATTACTTTGAGGATAGCACCTTGACATTGTCTCACACCACATTCAGACTGTCTCACACACACACACACACACACACACTTTAAATCCCAGTGCTTTAATGTCCCTGACCTGTCAATTGACTGAGGGCTTTTTCCCCTCCTAAGCTCCTTCATCAGATCATAAAAGATTCCTAACGACTTTCACACACACACACACACACACACACACAAACACACACTCCTGCCAACGTCCCTCCTGACAACAGGAAATCTAAGGACACAAAGGCGGGTGGGCTGGTTGGGGGAGGGGTGTCGCACATATGTCACCAAAACCACAGCTTGTCTTGGGGAGCTGGTGAGGTCATGAATGAGCCTTTCATCCCAGAGGCAGTGACACTCACTGGTGATGTTTTCTCTCAGAGGCAAACATTTGCGTTGCTGTCAGATAAGAAGTGCATGTCAGTTTAGAGGATACATTTTGGGATTTGTTGGACTTTGCGTAAAATTAAAGGGTTATCAAAATGTAAAGTTTTCTCTCCTTAAACCTTAGTTTTAATAAACACATAACTTATTCTGTAGTGGAGGTGTTGGGGTATCATCATCATCACCTCTGGAGGAAGTTTGCTCTCCTTTTTCTCACACCCCCATCAAGGGTCAAAGCCAATGTTTTGGCTAATTTGCAACCCAAACATATTCCTTTCCCTTTCACGGCCATCTTCGTCTCCACCTCCCCATTGGTGCGGGAGGCAGGGGACACAAGGCCAGTGCTTGACTGAGCCCTGAATGCTCTTTAGTTGTCACACTTTTCCCAAACGCCTTGCAGCTGCTCCTATTGTGGCCTCAGAGGGGGGGCTCCTTCGCTGATTCTCTAGGCCTCCTGCTGCTGCCCTGCTCTCAGATGGGTTCATACAGAGGGAGTGTGGCCTGAACAATGGCCGACGCCATGACATCATGCTTCTTATGTGGGCAGAGTCCTTATGCAGATATATGATAGGATTCCATCGCATGGAACAAAACAGGGAAGGATGTGCACAAAGATATTTCTGACATGCCAGAGGGTCAGATTCGCCTAAGCTTTGTTTAGGTGCGGCGCCATTTTTTTGTTGTTGTTGTTTTTCTGGTGCTCCTTTTGGTCTTTGTAAGCATTAAAATAAAACTGAAAAAACTTCATCAATTGTTTCGGTTTCTGCTAATAGAATTACTCAATCAACAAAAAAATTCAAAATTTCTACAATGGATGAATTTTGGTAACACCTTCGATTAAAATGTGAATATTTACTGTTTTTATTAGTCATCTATAATATTAAATTAAATATTTCAGTTTTGATCAGTCAGTCAGACAGCTCCAACTTTGGGAAATTACAATTTTTATTAATTTCTTTGTTTTTATAGTTTCTGATACCCTAGTGACCAAACTATTTATAGGGAAAATATTCAACAAATAAATCAATAATGAAATAATGGCTGGTTGCAGCCCTACAATTTGTGCTACTGGCCATATGTCAAACATTTTATTTCTGAAGACAGAATTCTATTTCATTTTGGGAGACGGTTGGATTATGAACTTAGTTTGTGTTTTGCACCAACTTTTTTATGTTTATCACCTGATAATGCCACTAGAGGAAGATAAATCTGTCCCGTCTATCAGTAACCTCAAATTACTTGGCATATGGGCAGATAACTAGATGCTGAAATAGATCCACACTTTAATTTCAGCTCTGCCAGATTATTAATCTGTGTTGCCTAAATTATTTGCAAGTCATTGTCCATTATTAGACACTAGTAAATAAATGTCTTCTGACATAAAGTGAAGAAAAAAAAAGGACAAAATGTTCAACCAAGTACAAAAGTCAGATGAGATTTATTAAACGGTATAAAAACAACATTTAAACAAACATATGCAAAAATAGATATGATAAAGAAATATATTACTTTAGTTCAATAAATATGTCAGAATGCAGCCACTGAGGACAACGTGTCCCCGTTTTTAGTAGTTGTAGGGGTTCTGTCATCACAGCGCTGCAGTACACAGTACACAAACATGAGGTATTTAATGGTCCATTTCCCCAAATGTGTCAGGATCGTCAAGGTTTCATGATGTCTTGAAAGGCAGGTATTTGCATTTTGATTGGCAACCCATTCAACTCTCAAACTAAACATGAAGATTTTCTGTCACATCTACACTGCAAAGAGGGGGATACATTCATTGTTCGTCAAATGAAGGAGTAGCTTCCATTGCCACGCCGGGCAACGTGTTAACGTTGCTTTCCTTAAGAAGTATGGAAAGCAACACGTGAGAGGATAAGTCAACATTCCTGAGACAACTGTTAGCCCTCTCCATTTTGTTTGCTTAAAAATGATTACGATTATCAAAAGCAGTTGCCTTCATGGAAAAAAATCAGTCCTTTGAATAAAGAATATTCAGATACTTCTATACTTCCTCTACAGGAATAATCTCAACTACCTTTTCAGCCATTTCCCAAGCCATCTAGGATGACTTTCACATTTAGGAGGTACAACATGAATACTGGTAGTTATCTAATCTCCCTTTAAAATGAGCAGGCCATCGGAGATATGGCCAGCAGATTAGTCAAAATAAACTGACCCCAAACAAGAGTTCCTATTCTGTCCAGTGATACCAGTATCACCACAAATGGGATACAACCAGACGTGATTTTTGTGCAGTGCTCTTTGCAGAGTCACCTGTGAGTTTAAGTCCAAGCAAAGTCTGTGCTCCCCACACCTTCCTCAGCAGCTGGGAGAGGTGGTGATGGGACTGTGGAGGAATGACAGCTGACCAGCCGATGTGTGTACAGGGATTGAGACTGGGAAATTGAAGACTGTGCTGCTGTTGCCGATGGCTGGACTTCCCGCCTCTGAGGAGCAAGTAGACGATGCCAGGACCTGGGACTCAAACTGAAGGAGCTGACCCATGAAGCTGAAGTTGGGGGAGATGATGCTGCGGCGCTGCTTGACAAACTCAAAGGCCTCGTCCAGCTTCACACGGTTGGTCCGCATGAGGTAGGCAAGGCATATGGTGGCGGAGCGGGAGATGCCTGCTTGACAGTGCACAAAAACACGACCTCCTTTATTCCTAACTGAATCTGTGGGGGAGGAGAGAGGAGAGAGCAACATTAGTTTACAGTAAACACTTATCAGGTGATGACATGCATTTGCAAAGACAGGAGGTTCAAACTCTCTGTCACAGGAAGGCAAAAACACAAAAGTCTTCCCAACACTTGGAGTTGCTATTTAAATTCAACAGCGCTCATTAAGACACAGGAACACAGTTAATAGGGGTGCAGGGTGTGAGCTTGTGGGGGTTATTCCCAAAGGAGGCAGTCTGAATGGACAAAAGAGGGGAACAGACCCCTGCTAGGGGTATTGATCTGGGAGGAAGGCCGACAGTGAGTGAGGAGAAATTGCCTTTTGTTCAGCCAGAACAAAGAGTGGCGCGGAGGGAGCCATTCAAGCCCAGCCAGCCTACCCTCCACACAACTAGTTTGGGGCCGTTGCCTCACAATTCATTAAAAGGGGGCATCCCTTTTTCTACACCTGAGATGTGGCGATGATGTAACCGCCATTGTGGTGGAGTGGGGAGCCTGTGCCGAGCCAGCTGGTCCGTTTTGGAGGGAACTTTTTAAAATTTAAATCCGGGAGTCAAAGAGTGTTGTGAAGGAAGAAGGGGGTTGGGTGTTTGTATATGCCTGCCACCAATGAGCTTAGGCGGTAACAGCTGTGATAGGCCCTCACATTTGGCAGTTGAGGGGGTCTGAAGGGGATAAACATGGTGGATGTACTCACCGATAAATTCGATTGCCTCGTTGAACCAGGAGCTGATATCGGCCTTGTGGTTGTCCTCGACCGGGATGCTTTTATACTGGAAGGAGTCAACAAAGTGGTTGGGGCAGTTGGCAGAGACGTTGATTAAAGCAGTGATCCCCAGCATGTCTAACATGTCTTTTCTTGAAGCGTGGTAAGCGCTGCCAAGGTACAGGAAAGGCAAGATTTCCACGGGACCACCCTACACAGAAAAATAAACATTCAGTCAACACCAAAATAGTACATCAGGAAGTAAGAAACAAACAAGAGCATGTTTAGACTCATTATCTGTATATTAATAAACAAAAATACTGACCTGATCATATAAAGGAGTGTTGCATGGGCTACAGCTTGGGTCTGCACTCTGGCTGGAGCTCAGGGGCAAACTGAGTCCTTGTGGAGGGGAGGGTTTGGTACACATATCTGGATACTCTGTGGTAAATGTGTCAAAACCACCTGAAAAGGGGAGAAAAAGATGTCTAGGTTAGATCACAGAACAGCTGACAGACATCCACATTTCAATATGGGTCTCAAAAAAGGTAACAACTGCTCTTGGGGCTATTTTAGAACAGTGTTTACTCCAACACCAGCTGGTGTGGTGACAGCTGTAATCCGCATTTGTTGCCCCGTTGTTAGGATACAGTCAAACAATTGTGTGAGGCTCTTTTAAACAGTTAAATAACTTTTTATTCTTACCTTTCAGGATGAAAACCCTGGCTCCACAGGGGTCGCGACACAGGGCCGTAACAGCAAGCATCAACGTCCCGTCTTTCTTCGCCTGGCTCAAGTCAAAGCTCCGGTCGTCGAGAAGTACCACAGACTGGTACTCCCCGGACAGGAGCCGAGTCCTGGTGTCCTCGTTGGGGACAATGTGCTCAAGTCCTAGACCCCCCCTGGCTCTCCTGCGCACTATGGTGCTGAAGCGGACGTTGGTGGAGCCCGATATGTGGGACGAGTTGAAGGAGAGGAAAGAGCGGCAGTCCAGCACCAGGCAGCCCGGGACGTCGCCCTCCAACAAGCCACGGAGGGACGCGCAGTCGATGGTGGGGACCTCCATTATGACCATAGTAGGACAGCGGGATATAAATTTAAAATCCAAATACATAAAGCTTGAACGGCAGGAAAACAGAAGTTTAGGCCGTTGAGACGACGGTTAAGTGATCTTTAAAGCGGCGAGTCCTTTGTTCCAGTTCGTTTAAACAGAAACACAAAAGTCAAAAAAAAGTTTTATGACTGTCAAAGCCGGTCCTCTTCTCGAGTGTATCCGGTAGTTAAAGTTCTTTTTAAAAAAAAGTTCCGTCAATTCAACTTTACAGTGAGTTGGTTCTGCCTGTGGGCGCTTTGAAAGCGTTTATATACGGCTCGTGCTTGTGAATGAGAGGCCACTGACGTCAGGCGGCCGCCCCTCTTGGCTTCCTGCCAGCGCTGCGGACGTCATTGCCCGCTGCCCCCCTCCCCCCTCCCCCCTCTGCGGGTGCACTAGGGCAGAACAGCGCTCGCGCACATGAGGGACATTTCTGTACATGCGTGATGCACGTACGCGGGCACATAGTGTCAAGGAAGTTTTCACTGAGGGGGGGAGACCTGCTCATGTTTTCATCTTTTATGACACTTGTATAAATAAGCTGATGTTTCCAAATTATCACTGTTTGCTCAAATTGTGTGTCAGCAAATTAGGAATTTGCCAAATTTTCCATGATGTTTAATTAGATTTCTATTTTGCCTCTTCACCTGAGAGTTGACAAATAACAAGATAATAAGTAAATATCTGGCATGGGGGGCCATAAAAGTTTATTCTTTGTTTTTATTAGTCAGAGGTACATAGTGTTCAATGCCCCGAGAGCAAAGGCCAACCATAAAAGTTAATCACTGTATAGAAATCTGAAGTCCAGTAAATTTCCACATGCTGAGAAAACAACACGGGTCTACCAGGAAGACAACAGCAGATGGTGATCTCCTAACCTGTCAGTTTTGTTTCATTTGTGACCTAATTAAAACAGATGGATGAGGTGTTTTTTTTTGTTCCCAACCCCCACCAAATATTAAAGTGTGTTTTAAAAAGCAAACATGATTACAATCACTACGGGAAACCCTTTCCATTTGTTGCTGTGGTTTGCTGACTCAGAGTGGGCAACACTGCTGTCTCATAATAAGGAAGCTGGAGGATCATTATTGGTGGACAATAGGCGTCTACTGACAAGAGGGTGTGTTGAAACTGAGACGTGCCGGGGTTGTTTTGTTGTGAAACAAGTGTTTACTAAGCAAACTTGAAAACAGGTAGTGTTGCGACACACCATTTCAAATCCTATATGAGTTTCAGCCCATATCCCATTACTCTAAACATCTAATTTAATTGTAATTAAGCTTGTACTATAACTCAATTTCATGCTGCATGTGCTAATTTTTTAATTATGTATATTGCTTGAAATGATCAGGCTGTCATCTGTCATGACATCATTCTCACTTTGATGTAACCTTCAGCCAGGTGAATCCGCATCCGTGATGTTTTGCCTCTCAAGTAAAGGGTAAATAGATGTGTTATGTGAGAAAGGAAGAGGCGGAAGGGAGGGGAAGCTTTAAGGACAGAGGCTTAACCAATCACAACAAAGTGCAAAAACTCTCCAGCCGGTTTAACCTCACACTCCTGTGAGATGAGTCAACTGTGAGGCACATGCCACAAAGCAGGAAAGTTACACTATACAGGGGAGGAGGGTCCAACAGGGCTCTGAAAACAGTCTGTTCTCAGACATTTTGTCCTCAAATGCAACCTCCTCTCAGTCACGAAGTGATGAGCTCCGGAGGGTTAGGAGCTGAGGATTAGGAAAGACCCCAGACACATGATGAAGGGGTGAATGAAGACAACAGTGGGGGGCTCGATGATGCAACTGTGTATTTCCACAAAGTAGACAATGTTCACTTGTTTTCCTCCCTTAGTTAATCTTTTTAATTTATTCCAAGCACATACCAGTGTTATCTGTGACGTTGGTGTTTTCCAAAATGTTCTAAAACCATATTACAAAAAGTTAAACATGTGTCATAATTTTTCTCTAGTTGCTTGATGATAATATCCAGCAAAAAGGCCGAGCATGAAACCAAAACTTGCATTTCATCAACAGAAAAACTCCTCTTCTCTCAGCGACCATTCATCAGTGCAAATGTCCTCCCAGAGTAAAAATACAAACCTGTACGTGTGTTTCTGTACAGTGTGGGAGAGAATATTTAAATTTAGGTCTGAAAATAGAGCCTGAATTATTGCCCTGTTTTGGATTCCCATAATTATGGCCCATAACCAACTGTGGCTCTCATCCAGAAAGGGAAGTGAAACAGAGGACGACACAAAGGCATTTTCTGTGGTCCGACCTCGCTGTCACTTGCTGTCATCTCTGCCTGTTTACTGTCACCGTCACTATAGGCAACAGCTGAGCCATCAGTGGGAAAACACACGGCCTATCCCGTCTTCTAGTGTCTCAATAACAGCATGGTATTTGAGCTGGGCATTTCATTTCATGTATATATGAAAAAAAAGGGAAAAACCATAACCAGTGGATTTTGTGGATTTTCTTATTTCACAGATGACATGATGTATAGCTCTGTGTTTCTGTGTTGTTACTGTAATATAGCCCAAAATAAGCATTTCTGTCTCATACATGTGATCACAGTGGATTACTGCAATGTGAAAAATGTATTTTTATTTCTGAATGTTGAGTTCATAAAATACTGCAAGTTCTTCCCTGCTTACCTTTTTGTACATAACAAGTATTTATGTTGATGAATCATTTGCAGGTTGTATTTTTGTAAGACTTTTTGTACGTCAGCCAAAAAGTGTAGTTGATGCGTTTGCCCCAAACGGGGTCATCAGACGTCACCACTGGAATTTTAATTAAAAATAATGTCTTTAAGGCAATTTTCTCACAGAGGCAACATAATTTATGGCCTGCTGTCTGAGGTCACATAGTTGCCAGATAAACATGCAGCTATACTGGTTAAAGGTTGAAATATGGGCTGCTTAAAAATAACACGTGTGTATGTGTGTGTGTATATGTATATAATAATACCAAAAAATCATTAAAACTATCTCCTAACTAAGGTAATTTTCTATTTATCCTGTCGTTATTCCACAAATGTAACTAATCTGTTCATTCAGGCTCATCACAAACTTAGAAATGGTCCAGAATACACTGCAGTTACTTAAACTTCAGATCAGTAGGTGACACTTTAAACAGTATATCAAATATTAAAATATTATATACATAATACCACAAAACTTCAATTAAAAGCCTAGTCCCAATTGAACGTCCAGTCTCTTTTACTAGCCAAGTGTGGCTACACATTTTGACAAATAAATGGCTGTCTCAATTAGAGGCCCGGTCTGGTTACCAAGCAGTTCTTTGCATGTATAAAAGTGGGCTCATGACTACCTCAAATTATGTGTCCATTCCTTGATTACCTGGTAAATTATATGTATTCCTTTAGTCTGTAAGGGTTTTTCATAAAAATTAATCCAAGTTGTGAGTATAACAGGATAAAGTGGTGTTGTGTCCGTATGCCGGGTGCCATAATCCTTGAGGACCGTAACTCGGAGCTAGATCAAATGAATGATTCATAATTGATATATTATGTGAAGCCTAATTTGTATACAAGTAATATTCATGCTGGTTTATATAAACAACTTGATTGTATATTTCCCGATCTTCGCTGAGCAAAAGTCTTGTGAAAGGAATTAAAGGCCTGTCCCAAATATACACCTGTTGATTTCAGTCATTTAGGCAAATAATAGCCTGGGCTATTATTTGAAGTTTTATGGTAATATATATAATATATTTACATAGTATACTGTAGATGTAAGCAGTAAAACTAACAACATTTCATATGATTATAACTATATTATAATGTTAGTCACAAATACACAAAAATGCCTCAGTAGGTGTTTTCAACCAGTGTTATAATCAGTTTTTTAGTATTTATATATAGGAGGGTTAAAATAAAGTTTTACTAATAAGTTTATGAGAATAACGGTCCACCAAATGGGTACACAATCTTAAGAGAAAGACAGTACTTTTCAATTTAATGGATGATTTAAATGTCATGTGTTACACTACTGCTTTAATTATTGGAGGATATGTGCTCTAGGCTACTAGTTTGTGCATACATACATATTATATTTTACATCAGATTTTACAAGATATGTCATTTTCTACTATCTCTAGGATGTCATTTTAACATCTGGTTGGGGAAAACAGATGGATTGTACATGTGTTTTTATGTAGGTTAAGAAATAAGTGGATTTAAAAGTTTATTAGAAGGTTACCCTGAGGCTATATTATTTATCCAGAGACTTGAAAACATTTGTGTGCGTGGTCCCTGACAAATTAATGTATTATAACTGGGGGGAAATCTATTGTTTATGTAAAATAATAATAATAAAAAAATAAATAAATAAAAAAGGATTTTTTTTTAACAAGGCGGGTTATTTAGTAATTAAACCATAGACGAAAGACTAAGTATTCCTGTGCTGTGTGATTATTTTATTTTAATATATATAAAAATTTTCAGCGAACGTAAATTAACATAAAGGATGCAGCGCTCTCGCCGGAAGTAGAATCAGAGCGAACAGGAAGTAGCTCTCAGCCAATCAGCTTTTGCAAAGCGTCCTAAGCTGACGTCAGCCCGGTACCGATGAACAACCGGTAGCGTTGAAGGGAGCTGTATGTTAGCCCGTTGTTTGTAGCTTTGTCCGTTTATCCCCCTGTCAAACGTGCAAACATCATGCCTTTCGATGTTAGGAGGTGAGTACGGAGCTTCCGGTTATTTTGGGTGAGCTGTGGAGGGACGGTGGCGGTGTTTGACAGTCTGTGAGCTGTGGATGAATTAACGGTGGGCAAAGCATCGCCTACTAATGAGCGAGTCAAAGTTGAAACAGTGGTGTTTCACATTGGGAATGAATGGGCTGCATTGTCGCAGGGGTGTAGAGTTTGTGTTGAGTCGGTGGAGTGATGCTCAGGTATGCTCACAGAGTTTTTGTGAGGGCTCCTGCCTGCGCATGTGCAGATTTCCACATCCATCCTGATATTTGCAGTACGTGACACTGATTACAGTGACCCCAGGGCATAGTAAAACTCAACAGTCAATACTGTTTTGTCATAGCTGCATTTTACTAAACAAACGTGATGGCCTGATCTAATCTTATTCACACATCAAAAGTCTATAATTCTTCAAACTCACTAACAGAGGCAGTTTTCAGAATCATTGGGTGCCAATAAACAGTCAGAAACAGGTAAGGAACAGTCGGAAATACACCTGACTAACAGAGCTGTTCAGCTAATCTATAGATGGTCTGGCAACAGGCACGGAGCTGACAGTCACACCCACATGGCAGTTGAAACTGTCAATAGAGCGCACCCTAATCAAAATAGAGGACAGGATGTTTGCACTATGTGGTCACTTCATATGTGACGGATACTGTCAGGCTGTCATGGTCACAGGTAGCCCGCTTATTCAGTCCGAAAATATGAGTGGAAAGTATTAACTTTATACAATTTAAATAAAAAAGGAAGTTGTAGAGCTGCAACTAACAATTATATTTCCGATTTAATAATATACAGTTTATATCATTAAATCCCTTGGTCTGTAGAGTGCTGCAGGGATGATTTTTTTGTAGGGCAATGCAGAACTTATGTCACCCTGGTTCCCTTGACAAAAAGCAAATTAAATTTTCCACTGGATTTTGGTTTATTGCAAAAAATAATCTCTATGGCAAACACAGTTTTATGATGCTTACACATGTTGTTCAGCAAGATAATCTTCACAAATAAATATTACTTCTATAATTTTTAAAGCGTAAATGCAATCCCCAGAGGTAAAAAGCTAACGTTAGGCTATAAATGAACTACACTACGGTCGCATGACTTAAACGTTGCCATCACAACAAGGCCGTAAAGCCGTGTTTGGTGTAATGACGACCTGTATTCTTAGGGCGCATTCACACCAGGATAGTCCGGGGGACTCGGTTCGATTGGGCGGGGAATGCCAAAAAATTTCACACCTTCACTTGGTTCGGTTCACTTTCACACTGCATTTTGCTTAGAACGTCACGCAGTTACAACAGCTGCTCGTTTGGGGGCGGTATTGCCCGAAATGACCACTGACCAGGAAGAAAAAAAGCATGAGGAAGAAGAAAAAACGGTTCATCAATTGGCCAGGACCAAAGACGGGAAACCATTGTGGGTAGCCACAACCAATTGCGATATATAGTCCTCTGACCATATATCAATTAGCACCTGCACCTCCTCGCTACTCCACATCCGCCCAGGAGACATTTTCCAACTTTTTCTTTTTTTTCTTCTCCCAGTTTGCGCTGTTGGCTTTGTTTTTTCCACCCAAAATGCACTGTGCTCTACGTCACTTCCTCTATTTGGTTTGCTGGATAGTCCGTTTGCATTTCCCACTGTAAGCGAACCGCACCAGGATTCACTTGCAAGTGAACCGAGACCCCCAGTTTTCAAACGGACCAGGGTTCGCTCATTTGGTCCACACCAGTATTCGAATAAGCGTTCACACCACTCCAAACGAACCGAACTATCCGTGGAAGCAGACCAGGGTTCGTTTAAAGCGGACCAAATAGAGCCAGTGTGAATGCGTCCTTATTTAGCCCCTTAGCAACCGTCTTTTTCAAGACACACAAAGGCTTCAAATGTTAAGAGTGGCCTATTTACTGACATATTTTATGTCATAGAATAAAACATGAACATTTCTCAGCTTGTGTTAACCACAGACCTTATTTCAGGCACCTATCTGAAAACTGATTTTTAAAAAAAAAACAAAAAACAAAAAAACACTGACAAGGGAAGTAGGAATGCTAAAATGCAAAATAATTTCTGGGTTTCAGGACTCATTTCCTGGAGCACTCTGTATGTCAAGATGTAGTTAAAAATGCCCGTCACTTCCCACTTCTCAGAACATAAGGGAACATATTCAAGTGTCTTTTTTTGTTTGACCAAAGCTCAGAGATACTCAGTTTACAATAATATGAAAAAGAAAAGCCCCAAATCCTCTCATCTGAGAAGCTTGATCAAGAGAATGTTTGTTTTACTAGTTTGTTGGAAAAAAATGACAGATAATTGATTGATAATCAAAATGGTTGCTGATTATTTGTTTGTTGAGCGACTGTTTAATTAATTGACTTTTAGCTCTATATGATAGATGTCTCCTTAAACAAGGAGCATGTCACATTATTTTCACTGGTAATATCTAGTACCAGTTAATTTGGACCACAATCAGGTAAAAATATTCACTTTACAAGGTGAGACATACTTGTGCCAAAAAAATGTTCTGATAATCAATATTTGATCATTTAAAACATTTTCTCATTCCAACTTCTCCAGAGTGAGGATTCACTGCTTTTCTGTGTTTTATGTAACTGTAAATTTTTGGGGGGGTTTTGGACTGTTTGTCTGATAAAACAAGCTATTTGTAGTAGTTACCTTGGTAACGGCTGATGAAAGTGATCGTCACTTGCAGCCCTGGATAACACATGAGCTGTCTGTCAGAGTAATCACAGTTGCGCTCGTCCGCCTCACAGACCACAGCTGTGTTGTACAGATAATTTACCAACACACAGGATCTGACGTAACTCTCGTTTGCACTACAACACTATGACCCATGCATGAGGGTTGTGTGAGAGCAGGTGTGTCATAGGGTCATCACATGGTCATGTCCTGTTTGGATGGGTCATTGACTCGATGCCTTGATCACACAACAACTACATTACAACAGGTGGAAGTTGCTCACTTGACCAACTAACTACACGTTTCCAGGTTTCACCCTTTTAGAAATACTGTGGGGTTAGTCACCAGGGTGAGAGTGTGTAACGTCATCGATTACCGTAGGTTTCACCATACGCTAGGGTAGCATGTATTCCCAGAATGCTGGGTTGCTTAAGTACATCAAAATTAAATTTATTGAATGTCAGAGGATTACAGCTGGTCTTCTATTTCGGGTTGTCAACAAGTCCTGGTGAAAGACCGAAACCAGCACTGTGTAACTTTCATAACTGCGTGACCTCTGTCAGTGTCACCCCGAGGTCATTGGTGTACACTAGGGTTGTAATTCTTGAAGAAATAGCTCTCAATTATAGTTTCATTGTTAAAGAAGACATAGTCATTTCCTTGGGGTTGATATTGAGACACAAATCCAATCTTTGCCCGCCGAATTCTGACGACAACTCTGGAGATATAAGAAAAAGTTGTAATCTTAAATTAATATTGTCGATCACATTGCGAGCAAAAAAACAGACATTTTGCTCTGTTGATAACGCATTTGTTCTGGACTATTTTCAGCTGCGGATTAATACACATTTGGTGTTTTAGGACATCTTTACAGCAGCAGAGTTGTTGTGAACATATTTCAGGCTTTAGGTACTTGTCGCAATATTTGTTAGTTTGATTAGTTTGATTCTTAGTTTTTGAGTGTTAATGGGATTTGTTGCCCAAAAAAGGAAATATAGAACATCGCTGACCTTATCCTTTAAAATGTACTTAAAATATTTGAAGTCGTACTGCTACTCAAATGTCTGTCTGTCAAAACAACGTAAAACCTAGGCTATAGGAGGCCCACTTAAATGAACTTTGTATCGGTTTTCTGCCCCCTGTCCTTGTACTATCAAAATATATGAGTTTTAAATTGTGAGCCAAGACGTTTATTTAAAATAAAAAAAAAGGTCAGATCATATCCAAGTCAGCACTCTGTCTCAATTTGATTATGAAATATAATCTTTTTTCTTTGTTGATATCTTTAATTTATGTATTATTATTACTATTCTGACACAGTTACTGATTTAAACTGCTCAAATTATCACCCACTCAGAAAGAGTTTTCTTCACATCCCGTCTTTAAATGCTCATTTATTTTTACTTGTACTAATGTACTAACTCGTATACTAATACAAAACATGTAGGCCTGTTAGACATAGGCTAATTGTTTTGAAAGGCTCCAAATGGTGTTTCAGCAGTAATATAGATCAGCTCCTAAAGATAAGGATAACCTGATTCAGAATGACTCAACAGCAGCCTCTCTGAATGAATGAGTGAATAACTGAAAGGCTTTTATCCTCAAGTTTAATGACCTTAACATTATGTCATATATTGACACAGGCAGGTTCGGTTTGGGCTAACCTGGTGATGTCGTGTGTTTGCTTCTTGGTTGATTAAATCATGGTGACTTAAGCAAGGATGCTCAGTGTCAATAGATGTCATATCTCTTTATCTTGACAGTGATGGGTGACTATGTGCTGTTTGATACTTGACGTACACTTGAGGCAGATGAATGAATAGCGACCTACGTAGAGAAAGGCGTAGGTGCATTTGCTGCTCGCGGCTTGTGATGTGAGATGATCATATGCGAGGAGAGAAATTAATCATAAACATCCGTTGTGCAGGTTTACTTAGCAAAAAGGATGAACCACTAGCTTACCATGACTCATTGCGAGATATGGTTTATTTAGTGAGGGCCCTTCCTTGAAAAGAGGCCCTGTGGTGTCAACAGAGAGATGCTGCTGGTACACCATGTTCTCACTAATAACAAAACATCTGCGCCCCTTTTTTACAGAAGAATGAGCAGTAGGAAGTGACAGAGGGAGATGTGTTGACTGTAATTCAGGAAATTACAAACGTCAGTGGTAGCCCGAGAGGTGAACTCTCAAGAGTCAACATTAGTATTCATGAATACAAAGTGTTCTGAGCAGAGGTAATTAAGTGAAGCTGAGTTCTCATCAAGCTCAAGTGAGTGTATCA